TCTTAGGGATTCCTGCCCACAGTAGTAGATATAATGGTCATCTTAGTTAAATTCACCCATTCTAGTCCATTTTAGTTTGCTGATTCCTAGAATGTCGACATTCATTCCTTGCCGTCTCCTGTTTGACCACTTCCAATTTGCCTTGATTCATGGACCTAACATTCCAGGTTCCTATGCAATATTGCTCTTTACACCATCGGACCTTGCCTCTATCACCAGTCCCATCCACCACTGGGTATTGTTTTTGCTTTGGCCCCATCCCTTCATTCTTTCTGGAGTTACTTCTCCACTGATCTCCAGTAGCATATTTGGCACCTACCAACCTGGGGAGTTCCTCTTTCAGTTTCCTATCATTTTGCCTTCTCATACTGTTCATGGGGTTCTCAAAGCAAGAATACTGAAGTGGTTTGTCATTCCCTTCTCCAGTGGACCACATTCTGTCAGATCTCTCCACCATGACCTGTCCATCTTGGGTGGCCCCATGCGGCATGGCTTAGTTTCACTGAGTTAAACAAGACTGTGGTCCTGTGATCAGATTGTCTAGTGTTCTATGATTATGGTTTTAGTGTGGGTCTCTCTAATAATCACATAAAATTGAAGATTCCTGGCATATCAGGGTTGGACAAGACAGAGCACACACACTATATCATTAAGAGCATAACAGCCTATGGTTCATATGCATGTGTGCTAAGTCACTTCAGTCGTGTTCAACAATTTGTGATCCTATGGACTACTGCCCAATAGACTCCTCTGTCCACGTGATTTTCCAGGGGAGAATACTGGAGTGGAGTTCCATACCCTCCTCCAGAGGATCTTCTTGACCCAGGTATCATACTTGATAGTTCATATAGCCTATTATTTATATTTTATGTGGTGAAATTTACATTTTGAGTGAAAATTAAATTTTGAAAAAAACAATTTTGCATAAAATAAAGTATTAAATAACAAATAAAGCTTAAATTTGAAAACTAAAATTTGAATTCATATTTGAGTGATGGAAATAGTTTTTCTCCCTGGTTTTACCTCTGTGTCTTCCTTGTCACCATTTGCTATTCACTCATTTAGGTTGAGCTTTTTCTTTTTTCTCATTATTAAAATGCAAATACTCTTGGAAAAATAATAGATTAGGCTCTTATTAAGAAGTTATAGCTGCTCTTATAAAAAAAAAACATTGTGCATAGAATAGCAATTTCTGATTAGGGGAGAAGGTTCTGAGAATGATATATGATAGGTTTTAATAAAGGTGGGGGAGAGTGGGATCCTGCTGTGGAAACCATAGAAAGGCTAGGGATGTGCTTATATTTAGTA